AGAGTGACAGTTCTTTGGAAGTAAACCCCTGTACTACCTAGATGGCTGACTCCACACAGAGACACAGTGCAGAACAAGGCATGGGGAGTCAGTACTGGGGAAAAGATTAGCTGCTGGGAGCCTGTAGGCAATACTAGTGAATGGTTCTTTGCCATCTGATTTACAGTAAAGCGGAGTTCCACTCACTCTGTAAAAAAATAAAAGTCAGCAGCTACAAAAACTTTAGCTGCTGACTTTTAAAAAACAGCGACTTACCTGTCCCATGATCCCACAGCCCGTTTCACCAGCCGTCCTGTATTCAAGGTGCCAGCATCTTCAGTGTGGGCACCCAGCTGTGACAGCTGGCAACTTCACAGCCGGGTGCCCACTGCACATGCGCGAGTAGCACTGCGCTTCCCGAATGGCCCAATTGTCTTCTGGGATCTGTCACGTGTCCCACAAGACTTCGGGAAGGGAGAGGGTAGGAGGACAACTTCCGTTTCCAATCGCCTAGGCGATCACAGGGGAAGTGGGAGCGGGTACCTGTCAAATTCGGGTACCCGTTCCCCCCCGCTCCCCAAAGATGCCTCAATCCTCAATGGGGAGCGAGGGACCAATCTTTAAAGCTGAACTTCCCTTTTTGGGTGGAACTCTGCTTTAAGAATAAGATTTGGTTATATAAATACTGTGCTGCCCCCTGTTCTCCTTGCTGGAGAGGAAGCTGTGCCTGAAGGCTGGTATTGCAAGGAACTCACTACTTCTTCATCCATTTTGTGGATTTGTGCTTCCACTTTCCTGTTGCTTCTTGATCATTACCCCACTAGTCATCAAATCACTGGGTTTCAGAGTGACAGTTCAGTGGAAGCAAAGCCCTGTCCTACCTAGATGGCTGACTCCAAACAGAGACACAGTGCAGAACAAGGCATGGGGAGTCAGTACTGGGGAAAAGATTAGCTGCTGGGAGCCTGTAGGCAATACTAGTGAATAGTTATTTGCCATCTGATTTAAGAATAAGATTTGGTTATATAAATACTGTGCTGCTCCCTGTTCTCCTTGCTGGAGAGGAAGCTATGCCTGAAGGCTGGTATTGCATGGTATTGCAAGGAACTTACTACTTCTTCTTCATCCATTTTGTGGATTTGTGCTTCCACTTTCCTGTTGCTTCTTGATCATTACCCCACTAGTCATCAAATCACTGGGTTAGCTGCTGAGAGACTGTAGGCAATACTAGTGAATGGTTCTTTGCCATCTGCTTTGGGGGGTTTTTTTGGAGGGGGGCACAGCTTTCACACTAGAGACCTTCTCTAAAGGTCCCTTGTTACATCCCCTGTTACCTCTTACAGAACATTAAATATGCAGGCAGGATTTCTGGTTGCATTTTAACACCCAGGTTAGAAAGTTTCAAAGTTTGCTGAGTTTGCTTTACAATCGTCCTGAGATTTCCCAATGTCTTATCCCGGCTGGCGGTCCCACTGTCACAGGAGGCGGCTTGTGGCCAAACTCTGAAATAATTCTGTGCTGTAATGAGCTCTGTGTGGCTGCAGCTCTCTAATTACTCATAACGTGTTATCACAACATCTGCCCCGCTCAGGGAATTGGGGCATTTTTTCAATTTGTTCTTTTAGCTAAATTTCTCAGCTCGGATCTGTTCGACATTCCTGCCAGCTGCCAGCTTGTTATACAGCAGCAAGGATGTATAAAGTGAAAACCAATCAGCAACCAATCAGATATGATCTCTCTTTAATTTATAGCAGGGAGGATGAATACATGGATGGATGGGTGGAAGAATGGGTGGGTGGATTGGTACATGGATGGGTAGTTGGATGTAAAGCTGGGTATATGTAAGTATTGTATGCAGGGATGGATGCATAACCGTAGTGACTCGTTGAAGGATGAAAGACAAACGGATGGATGGATGGATGGATGGATGGGATGGAAGAATGGGTGGGTGGATTGGTGCATGGATGGATGTATAGGTGGATTTATATATGTATGGATGTATATACTGACTGGTGGATGGATGGGTGAAAGGACAAACAGATGGGTGGATGGATGCATGAATGGATAAACAGATGGATCGATGGGTGGATGAATGTATGGAAGATTGGGTGGATTGGTGCATGGATGGATGTATATGGTGGATTTATACATATCTATGTATGTATGGATGAATGTATTGACTGATAAATGGATAGGCGGAAGGACAAACAGATGGATGGATGGATGGATTAATGGATGGAAGGATGTGTGGATGGATGAATAGATGGATGAATACAGTATATGGATATACAGATGAATGGATTGTCAAATGGAAGGATGGATGAACAGACAGACCAAGGAATAAATGGGCCAATTGATGGATGAATGAATGAGCATGCTGGTGGGTAGGTGGGTGATCGGATGAATTGATGGATAGGTGGGTCTATGTAAAATGTATGTACAAATGTATGTATGAATGTACTGATTGGTGGATGGATGCGTGGAAGGAAGAACAGATGGGTGGATGGATGGAAGAATGGATAAATGCACATACAGACAGGTGGATGGACTGATTGGATGAATGGATAGATGGATGGATAGAGAAATGGATGGAGAGATGGATTGATGGGCCTGTGGATGAACGGGTTGGTGGATGGTTGGATGGATGGGATGGATAAATGCACATACAGACAGGTGGACTGATGTATGGATGGAGTGAATGGATGGATAAATGCACATACAGACAGGTGGACAGACGGATGGATGGGGTGAATGGATGGATAAATGCACATACAGTCAGGTAGATAGATGGATGGATAGAGAGATGGAGGGATGGATTGATGGGCCGATGGATGGGTGGATGGACCAATGGATGGGATGGATGTATGGAAAAAAAGACGACTGGATCGATTGACAGATGGATGTATGGATGTACATGCTGTTCAGTGAATGGGTGCGTGATTGGATGGATGGATGGGTGGGTACATGGATGGATGGATAGGTGGGTTTTTGAGTAATTGGAGGGATAGATGAATAAATGATCAAACTGGTGGACAGATGGACAAATGAATGGATGGACAGATGATGGACAGTCGGATCGATGGACGGACAAGTGGATGGACAGATGGATGTTTGAATTGATAGATGGATGCATGATGGATGGATGGATGGATGGAAAAAGATGCGTGAATGGGGAGGATAAAAAAAGTGTGTGGAGGGAGAAAGAGAGAAAGATAAATATAAAAAGAGGAGAGAAGATACAGATGGAAGGAGGTAATTTTGCCAAATTATAAAAAAGAGAAAAAGAGCAAAATAGAAGTTGCTGCCCACAGCAGCCAATCCAAATTCTTCCTCTAACGAGAATGAAGAAACCCTGACAGTATGGCTAATGGCATTGTGATGTTTTATTTTTTCATCCAGTACTTACACAATGTTCCTATAATGAGAAAGAAAGTGTGTGTGCGTGTTTGGGGGTGGTCGAGAGAGATGAATATATAATTGGTGGGGGGGAAGCTAAGCGAAAGAAGATAATGAGGAAAAGAAAGGGGGAGACTGGAAAGAGAAAGAAAGTAGGGAGAGGAGGGTGAAAGGATGAGAGAGGGAGAGGAAAAGAAAGGTGGATAGACAGTGAAGAGAGAGAAAGGATGAGATGGGGTGGGAGGGTGAAGAGAGAGAGAGAGGAACATGACAACCAAAAGAGAAAGTGTGAATGGGGAAGATGGGGTAGAAGAAACAGAAAGAGAGGGAGAGAGGAATATAAAACTTGAATGTGAGAGATACAAGTTGGGATCAGGGTGGAAGATAAATATGGGGAACAAAAGAAAGAAGGAGAGGTAAAAGAGTGAAGAAGTGAAGGAGAAGTCAAGTGAGAGCGAGGAAGACATCAGCAGAGTGAGATAGATAGAAAAGGTTAGGTGGGAGTGGGAGAGATGGGGAGATGGGGGGGGGGGGGGGTAAGGTGAGGTAAATGAGTAATGGGGGGGGGGAGAGAGAGAGAATGAATGTGAGTGCAACAGAGAGTGAGACAGAAGAGAGAAGACTGAGAGACCAAGAAAAAGAAAGAACACAAGGGGGAAGAGTAGAAAGATGGAAGAGAAAGGAAGTGAAGGTGAGAAGAAGGAAGAGAAGAAGACTGAGATAAAGACAGAGAGAGAAGAGTGAAAGGAAGACCAAGATAAAGAAAGAGAGAGGGAAGAAGCAAAAGAGAAAAAAGACAAAGAGAAAAAAAAGAGAATAGTGGAAGAGACTGAGATAAAGAGAGAGCAAGAATGAGAAAAGTGAGAGAAAGACCAAGATAAAGAAATAGAGGGAGGAAGAGAGAGGGGGGAAAAAAAAAAAATAGATGGAGAGAGGGAAAGACAAAGGAAAGAAAGAGAGAAGAAAAGACAGATAAAGAAAGACAAAAAAATTTCTGAAACTAATAGTATTTCCCCCTATAGACAATGTTTGGACAAAAGTTCTTTACTCACCAGATCAACACCATAAATATATATGAGTGCCATTTCTTCACAGGCCAGGATAAGATTGTTTTATAAGATGGGCAGAATGAGATAAGCAGCCAATCCATACGTGTGGGTGGGCTGGCAGCCCTGCTGGGGCACCAGATATAAGGCAGTCAGGGATAAGTCGCACACACCAGGCATCAGGAAGAAGCAGGGAGATGTCGTACAAGCGTGGCACCTGCTTGGGGTTCATTATGCTCCTCATGGTCTGTCACCATCATGCCAAGGGGAAACCACTGTCCAGCCTGCAGGTAGGTGCCACTCTGGCCAACCTAACATCCTGGGGTCATACATTATATTCACCACATTTTATGTTTCACTCCATCATTATTATGGCTGTTATGTATGTTTCCTATTGTTCTTTTTTTCCATAAATACATATAATAAAATTATTTAAAATAAAATAAAATGCAGTAATCTCACCACTGAGGCACTAAGATTCACAGCAAGTTTTTATTTTTTAATATAGTAAAGCAGACATTGGCAACCCCTAGCAGTCAGAGTTCATCTTTCACTGTTGCCACCACAGTACCATGAGATCTGGATGCTATAGGATACTGCACTTGGCAAGTCACCCCTATTCCCTGTACTGCCTTAAATTGTTTTAATCAGTCATGCCATGCCAATACAAATGCCATATCAAAGAGCAGGGAGAAAAGGTTAATATACGAGAAGTGGGCTCCAGGAAAAAGCATGCATCTCGTATCACTGCAATTCAGGTCTGATGCTGAAACAAGGATGCTGATTGTTTGCTATAGGCAACAAGCATCCGGTCTACTTCCAACTGTCACTACTGCAGTCCTGGTCTGAAAATGAAAAAAAAAAAAATGCGGTTGCTATGGACAACAAGAAATTATTTCTATTTACACCTTTTCATGCATTAGTAGCTCACAGCATCCTAATAAAAATAATTCTTCTTATTATTATTCATATTATTATTATTCATATTCATATTATTATTCATATTATTATTCATATTATTATTATTATGTCATGCCCTTAACTTTCATTTTAATTTGCTACTATCATTTCAATCATATTGCTACTATAATTTTAATGAAATAATGATCATTCAAGCTTTAAAAAAAATTTAAAGTAAACTCTAAATACAGTACTCTATAACAAATTACAATTTATTTTACATGTACTCATGAACGGTAATATTGGTTTGGTTTGCCTATCACTGGCTTGGCTTTCATTTCTGTTATCCATAACCCCGATTTAGGTGCTCAAGGACAAATCAATTTGTATCTTATTTTAAACTTTTGATTGAAAATGTCGAGAATTGTGGTGCTGATGTCCCAGCTCTGAGATGACCAAACTGCCTTTTTCCTAGAGCTTGTCCAGGTTGCTGGAGGATAATTTTGAGCGTTCCTATGGTTCTGATGAGGCAGATCAGCAGCTTGTACCGACCGATTCCTTGGACCAGCTGGACCCAGAACTTCAGTGGAACAAAAACCGGGTCGAGCAAGGCGAAGGTCCTCATGTTAACGAGATGACGCTTCAGCAGCTGCTAAACGACCCCGTCGGCACATCACGAAGATACAGACAGAGAAGCAAAAAGGGCTATTCTAGGGGATGTTTCGGGGTGAAGCTGGACAGAATCGGAGCATTCAGTGGGCTGGGCTGCTGAGCTATAGGTAAGATATAGGGGCATGGCAGAACAAGTTTGCTTCACTAATGTCCTGGTCCATCTGTTGTGGGCTGCTGATTTTTTGAAACGGGGTCAAGTTTGGTGTAGAACACCCAGTAAGCCTACTGAAGGCTCAGATAGCAGAAATGAAGAAGGGAGCAGATGTAGGCTGAGCACACAGCTGGATAGGACCAGCAAGGATCGTTTGGTGCCCTGGACTAGGAATAGGTGCATGCTTTGTAGATAGGTTGCCTACTAAGGTAAGTTGGTTAAGGGTCCATAAAGAGATAGACAACACACCTTCCATTGTCATTCCATTGTCCATTATCCACCTGACCATTATTAGATAAAGATGCTATTATATCAACTAGTGCCACCAATTTAGGTGATTGTAAAACATAGCAGGATTCACACTTGTGCTTTACAGTAATGTACGTGATGCCGCTATGTGCAGTAACATACGTAAAATGTCTGAGTTATTACAGTGACAATCATTTTAAATGACACCCCAATGTCCTAAGGCAATGAACCTGCATTGTAGCATGTCCCAATGGATGGTAATGCATTGCTGTGATTTGCATTAAAAAAAAAAAAGGTCATGTATGACTTTAGGCATGTTAGCATGTGTTGGCAACCCATTCATTTTAAATGATACCCCAATGCACTATGGCAATGAACCCGCATTGTAGTGTGCCCCAATGCATGACAGTGCATAGGTGTGTGTTGCATGAAATAAAGGGTCATAATGGATACCACTCAAGGCATTATACCTTGATATGCTCTTTATTTATGTGCCCTATGGATATCATATTGCTTGCCTGACTGATGTTACTTGTGATTGCTTTATGTTATCCCTAGCATTTTCTATGCTGTCTCTTTTGTGCTGTCTTGCCCTTAAATCTTTTTCTAAAAAAAAAAGAAAAAAAGGGTCATGTGCAATTTTAGGCATTTTAGGGTGTGTTGGCACTCCATTCATTTTGAACTGCCTTATATCATTCATAGGTATAGCTGATCCAGGGAATATCTGATTGCCTCTCAGGGGATCAGGAAGGAAATTTTTCCCTGCAGGAGCAAATTGGATCATGCTTTGCTGGGTTTTTTTGCCTTTTTCTGGATCAACTGTGGGTATAGGATTATAACTTTTTTTTTTTTTTTTATGGTTGAACTGGATGGACTTTTGTCTTTTTTCAGCCAGGCTATGTAACTAAGTGTCATGCATATTGATGTGAACATGAGTTAACACACTGCAAGTAAATAAGTGGGCCCTTAAGCATATGTCCAGCTAAATGTTTTTGGGTTTTTTTGGTGCAGGGAACTATAACAACCCCCTACCTCAAAGTAGTTGGGAAAAGGGTCAACTTCTCCCCACAAGACCCCTTTAATGAATCACTAAGTTGAAAACAAATAATACTGAAGTGCATGTAAATCCATCTTTTTAAGTTTTATATCGAATGTCAAAGGGTTAGACCCTCTGTCAGGTTTTATTACTGTCTGTGTCTCTGCTAAGGAGATTCACCCTCTCTGGTGACCACTGCCTTTGCTACACAAGGTGATGGGAAATCTAAAATGTTTGTGTCATCACCAGAAAAAACCTTCCAAAGGGTAAACCAGTTCTGGTGACAACAATTCTCTCATTTTGGAGAGATCACCTCTTACTTTCTGCTGTGTCTCTGTAACAGGAAGTAAAGGGAAATCCCTCAAAGAGAAATTAAGAAAAAAAAAAGTTTTGGCTTTACGTCCACATTTTTAAGAATACAAAGGAGGAGGAGAAAAGCACCAGCAAAGCCACAGCCATTAATAAACTGAAAATAATTTATTGAAGAGATACATTAGCAAAGACGAATGACAGACAGGACGATAATTGCTACAAGACTCCTCAATCGATATTTCATCACTGAAGATGAATTAACGAATGAGCCAAGAAGTGTATGTTTCTTGCTCAGCGCAGGATGATTGACAGCTCAGATAGGCTGGATAATTACAGTTGCTGTCCTTGGTGCTGAAACCACACTGAGCTGCCTATATGGCCATGCTGAGCAGGAGCTCCATATGGGGGTTGCTTCCTTTCCCAGTGCAGAACCTGTTTGTAAATGGGAATGAACTAAACAGATAGTTCTTATATTTCTCAAATGTATAGATGCTTGAGGGATGAAGAGTCCATCGTATTCCTGGTTTATCGAGACCTGAGTGCAGAAGACGGGTAATTTCTGTGCTGTATCAGCAGCTGTAGGCAGGGGCGTATTTACCACAAGGCAAACAAGACATTTGCCTAGGGCGGAATTTTTTCAGGGGGCAGCAGCATTTTTCAGGGGGGCAGCGCTGCCCCCCAAAAGAAGGGATAGAGGTAAGGACACATGCAGTATGGGATCTGGGAGAGGCTGCGGGCTGCTAGATGGTGTATGCAGAGCCTGACTGTTGTTCCCGGGGATGTACAGAGCTGTAAAGGTGAGTGTCTTCTCTCTTGCTGGGGTGGGGTTTGCCAGTGTATGGGGGGTGGTGGTAGTGGAAGGCTCTCTTGGGTGGGGTGGGATTGGGATGGGGGGGGGTTGTTGGTCAATGTCAGGCTTTTATTGTAGGGGAGGGGGGAGCAGATTTTTGTGCTGCCTGGGGCAGCATGAAACCTAAATACACCACTGGCTGTAGGCTGAGATAAGACTTTAGTAATGAGTATGATGTACATAGAAAAATATTCTCCCTCGTCACCGTCATAAACATACCACCCCATTTTGTTTTTTGAAAGTTTTTTTCTAAGCTTCTCACATAATCGTAAATTATAAATCCCAAATGATACATGCATGCTAAGGGCTCATTGACCAAGGCAGACAGCAATGGACACCAACTTCTACTCTCACACTGCAGTGGTCTGTGCTGGCAGAGCTGATGTACGGCCACACCCCTCATCACAAGAATCCCCATGTAGACTTGTATGGCAGAAAAAGGGAGGGGTGTGTACGGCCTGTTCTGTTTCCCTACTGAGCACACTGGCTCATCATACACGTTACAATCCGAGCATGCAAATCCGTCTTTAAAGTGTAACTTTGGTTCACCTCTAAGGTAGCTCCAGCCCCCCCTCCAATGCCACTGTTATGGTGGATGTGCAATTGTACAGATGGGCTCCGCCCAGTCTTCAGATCCTGGAAGAGCCCAATGGCATATTTGTGCACACGTAGGCAATTGTCTATGCATGTGCAAAGATGGGGAAAGGTTTGGGATTTTCCTGGTAGCCATCCTTGTACGCGCATGGGAAAACCTAGGCATGCGCAGATGGCCAAGGAGTGTCCTAGGTACATCGGCATGTGTGCAGAGGGTGGGGGGAAAAAGCATAATTCTTGCCAACACTAATAAATTACTTATAAAAAACAATGTCTAATTATAAGAGAGAGATGGGGGTGCAGGCATGACATGACATATAATAAATAAGTGCAGCGCTAAAAATGAGTATTGGTAAAATCTGTCCCCAGTTGAAAATAACAATAAAATAGCTAAAAGTATAAATGCTGAATAGCAGTGACAGCCTATATAAATAAAATTGGTGTGGTATGACAATCCAATCTAGTGGCGGTGCTCCAAATGATATGGTAAAAAAGTATGCACTCACCAGATGCGTAATTCAAGTAGGCAGTGTATGAATCAATGAAGATCTCCTTCACAAATATAGGTCAGGTCTGGAACATGAATAATCCTCCCTCAGGGTGGTGTTGATATGAGCCCTCAGAGAAGTAAGATGATCCAGCTGGCCAGAGGTCCCTTTAAGGGATGGATGGGTACAGGTGCCTGCTTACAGGTGTTTCCCTCTCTGGATACGGTGGGTAGATGACTGGATCACAGCAGGGCTCTATAAATACATAGCATGACTGATCACCTTCCTGGTCGACTTATTCGTGAGACTTGCCGAGCGAACAGCAGTGAGCCAGGAGCAGTCAGTCCACAACGTGCGTACACCCCTCTGGCTGTACTCAAAGAGGGATGACATGACCTTTAAGGTGAAGATCCATTTTAAATGTACCAGAACTCTGTAATATGAGCACCTCTCTGAACTATCCAATCAAGCTGTATCCAATCAGGCAGGCTCTAGTTACATAGTTAGCCTGGCTGAACAAAAGACAAAAGTCCATCCAGTTCAACCATAGAAAAAAAAAAGTTATAATTTTACGCCCACAGTTAATCCAGAGGAAGGCAAAAAAACCCCAGCAAAGCATGATCCAATTTGCTCCTGCTGGGAAAAAAATTCCTTCCTGATCCCCCGAGAGGCAATCAGATAATCCCTGGATTGTACAATCATATTGTAACATGTGTAGTGAGCTTAACTCAGGTGGCTATAATGCAGCACAGTCACATTTAGCCACAATGCACAACTTCTGTAACAAACGTCCATTCATTACAGAAGTTGTGTGGCGTGACTAAATATGACTGTACTGTCTAATAGCCACTCAAGTTAAACTCAATGTGCTAAATAATGTACTAAACTGGTCAGACACTCCCCCTCCCTTTCTCTACCATACAAATGTGTGTGTGAGGGCACTTGTTATGAGGGGTGTGGCTACTCCTCTGCTATGCCAGCACACACCACTGCAGTGTGAGTGCAGAAAGCAGCCTTTTCACAAAGACTAAAGCCAGCCATAAATGGAACGATTTTCTTTTTTCCAACCGCAGGATGGAGGAAAGAAAAAATCACTCGATTCCCCCATCAACACAGCCAGTGTAGATGGGAAATCCTTCCTGCTGAGCTATTGTGTTCTGCGGGCGGGAGCTGACCCCACCGGCAGAACTCATTGATTACTGCTAGTGGCTATAATATCTGAAAGTTGATAGAGGGTCCAACTGGGGTACATTCAGCCTGCCCATACATGGTTTGAATCTGAGCCGTCTATTGCAGGCTTAAAGGTATTTTAAGGTATAACTTTTTTTAGATTTGGATACAGTAATGAGATTCTAGAACCCCTGTTAGGTCTTTATTGCTGTCTGTAACCACATTAGGAAGATTGACCCTCTTTAGTTGC